ACCCCTTTCTATTGCACCATTACATTTACCATAAGTCATAAGAGCATAAACTTTCTTTTTTGATGGACTGGTTTCAGAAAGTTGTAATAGAGTTAAAACAATTTTCTTTTTATTCACCTTAAAAGAATAAATATGTTTGTAGCTATTATATAACATCCTTCTATCCTAATGCCAAGGTCTATTCAACACAAATAACAAGCATCTAGAGGAGCAACATCACACCATACTTTATTTTTATAATGTTTGTCAATAGAAAATAAAACTAAATATCTTTTAGTTACCTTGATGTTATTTCCCTTTTGCAACCAATGTAATTGGTAAGGATGTGGATAAGGGATTGTGTTGAACTTTAGCTTCTACACAATTTTCAAAAATATCACATTCTCAAAGTTGCCACTATCAATAATCATCAAGCACACATTGTCATAAGCTATGTTGTAACAAAATAGACAACTTTTATCCTCAGCCATATAGGATATATTTAAGCTATATTGTAACACAATAGACGAACCATGATCAGCATAAGTAATATCTTCCTCATTATCATCATATTCTGGTTCGTCATTAGTTTTATCCCTTTCTCTATCACTTTGATCTTTAACAAAAGTAACAATCCTCCTATTTAAACAATTTGAATCAATATACCAAACCATCACCATGACATTTGAAGCATTTTCAGTCACTGGATGTAGAAGAATTACGTGTTTGTTCACTACCAATAGACCCTTCACCCTTGTCTTGTACCTTTGACAACACCTTGCTTTGGAGAGTAGGCTTAGTATTTCCTCCTCTCGTATAACCTTCTTTTGACCCATACCGAGAACCCTTTTCAATCAGTATTGCCTCTCAACTTTTAAAGCCAACTTACTCATATTATTCAAGACTAATATGGTTGGAGTTGAACCACTTTAATAGTCTCATATTTCAGATATCCTAAGTATCTTGCAATGGTTTGCTCTTCTAGTTCCACAAGCTCTTATTTCAACATGAGATTATCGAACTCTACTATGTACTCTTCCACATTGAGATCTTTTTGCTTGAAATCATATATTTTGAGAAAGATCTCTTGCTTATAATTATCAGGCAAGTATTTCCTCTTCAACTCTTTTTTCATTTTCTCCTATGTCACAATCTTACTATTCCCTTTACATTTTCTTTTCTTATTCAGGTTTTCATACTAAAAAGATACATTCCTTATGAGTTTGAGTATCACAAGCTTTACCTTATTTTCTTTTGGTAGTTCATGAAACTCGAATATTTTTTCCATTATATTAAGCTACTCAATAAAGTCATTAATATTAATTTTACTCTTAAACTTTAAAATATCCAACTTTGGGTTATATTTGTTCTGCCACTCGTCTTGTCCTTATACCTTGCTTAATATCTTTCTAACTCCCTTGGGTGAGGAGGTGTATCATCATCAGAACCATGCTGGTTATTTCTTCTTTGAAATTCTTCAATGATTGTATTCTTTTCTTGTAGACTATATAGTAATATTTGTAGCTGCAACCTCAAGGACTTGACGTCATCTTCATGGCCACTATCTTCACCAATTAAATCTTTTCCATTCCATCTTTCCATGATCTTTAGCCTTTAGCTCTAATATACCGGGATAATAAGGAATGTAATTTAAAAAGGCTAATAGTTGTATTTGCAAGAAACACTTTTAGAAAGGAGATAAATGGATTCATCAAGTTTAAAATCAGGGATACAGAAACTCACCATCCTAAAGATAATTAAACAAGTATACAGAACTTCAAAAAAAAAACTCATCACTTAAGGAAATATCCAAGAGATATTGAGACTAAACCTACCACTCTATGGTAAACCAAAGTGATACAAAGTTAAAAGAGAAAACTCAAAGAGTTTCTGCTAATATAATCAGATTTTGAATTATTTCTAACTCTAAAATACAAAAATAAATACTAGTACATGAAATAACCCTCCAGAGAACTATAAAATTTATTATTTTATAGCTAATAACTAAACCCTTTAATGTATTCCTTGGTCATGAAGATAAGTTGAATTAACTCTCCCTTTGAATCTGCCCACCAAATCATCTATTAATGAAATAGTTAGAAAGTTAAGAGATTGAGCTTTTTCAACCGCACATCCCTTAACTCTGTAACAATCAATTCGGGTTATTCAAACAAATTTGTAGGTTTGAAAAATGTGCTTGTAACTCATTTGGCTTATGGGTTGTCATATTTGAGAGGTCTGGATTAAAGATTATGAGACAACTATAGAGAATATCATATGATCAATAAGATTTACATAAGCTTATTGTAGTAAACTAAGTACTTTCTTGTCACTGGATAAGATAAATGCTAGGAGATTCTTTGGGAGACCATTGATATCAATAGCTTCATTATCTCTCTAGTACCTATATATGCATCTCAAGTACTCTTTAATATTCATGTATGCCACATTTTACTCCATACCCCAATGATTTATTAATAATTTCAAGATTATTAATTACTCCATGAGGTAAATCATTAATATTATTTAATAAAATCAAGATTCCTTAGTTTAATAGATGTAATATTCTAACTCCTTTAATTTTTAAATAATTTATATTATATTTAAATACACTATAAGTAATGATTTAAAAAGTGTTAGGCATTAAAAGGCACCAACGTTCCAAAATGTTTAAGGCACTAGGCACTCGCTTACACACTCATCCGACCGAAGTGAGATACTTTAAAATATTAAAATATAAAAGATATATATAATATAATTGATAAATATGATTATATAAATAAAAATATGATATTAAATTAAAAATGTCTAAAGTACCAAGTCATATTATCCATCTTCTAATAACAAAAATGTCAAAAGACTTAAAATAATAAATTTTTACATCAAATTCAAATATCATCGTAATTAACATCATCATTCTCAAACATATCATCATCTTTTTCTTCCTCTTGTCCATCTTCATCAAAATAAGTTTTCTCCTCTTCAACAATGGTAGGAGATGAACTTGAAGCTTTTGTGCTTATTTTTACTTTCATCATTTGTTTTGTATGTGTTTGTAATTCTTCAACATTTGAGGCTCTTGCCTCATCTTCAAATACAAGCTCATCTTTAACATCTTGTAAGTTTGTACCTATTTCCCTCACCAACCACTCAATTGAATCATCAATGTTTTGTAATGAGATTGGATTAATATTATTTCATAAATAATGATGATCTTTCAATATTTGATTATACTTTATATAAACAAGATCATATAATTATTGATGCTCTAATCGATTTCTTCTCTTTGTGTGAATTTATCATGTCATGTAATTTAAAAGTATATTAGTATATCTATCTAAAAAAGAATAATTTAACTGAAACAAAAATATTTTTTGATTCTTACATGCTCAAAGACACTCCAATTTTACTAATAACCCATAGTATTACATGTCAACCTAAAAATTTTGATAGCTAATTACTATAAGTTCAGAATGAAATTTTCAAATAAACTTCACCATTTAATTATAAAATTTAATTTATTATTAACAATAATTTACTATATATAAAATTAAATATATAAATTTATTAATACCTAAAAATATAGTTGTCCCTCGTGAAATTCCATAAAGAGTTGTAAGACAATGTCACTGGTCTGTGAAGGAACCAGAACACATCCTTCCTTTGATTGATGCTATCCTCTATTGTCTTAGCTGTTTGTCAGATTGTCTATAATCTGAGTGAGATATATATATATTTTTATTTTCTTTACAGTCTTTCAATTAACTTGGTTGCATAATGGTTATTTCTCAGTATAATATGCAATATGTTTTTTACTTTTTGCTGACGAAAGGAACCAGCACCATTTCGGTCTATCATTTGCATGGTATACATGATGCATAATTTGCTTTATAAATGGTAGATTTAAATATTGCAGGCCGGCCAGGAATCTTTTCGATCAATTACAAGATCCTATTATAGAGGTGCTGCTGGTGCCCTGCTCGTATATGATATCACCAGGTATCGATTGCTTCATGCAGATCCTTGAGTTTTAGGTAATGAGTTGCTAATACTGTTTTATCTTTATATTAATTGTCAGGAGAGAGACATTCGATCATCTCGCCAGCTGGGTGGAAGATGCAAGACAACATGCCAATGCTACTATGACAATTATGCTGATTGGCAACAAATGTGACTCGGCTCACACAAGGGCGGTGAGCACCGAGGAAGGAGAACAGTTTGCCAAAGAGCATGGATTAATCTTTATGGAGGCCTCTGCCAAAACGGCACAGATTGTTGAGGAGGTGAATAAGCTTTTTTAAGCTTTTCCCGGTATTACCAATATTCATTGTTTTTTATTTATTTATTTATTTATTTTTCTAATATCGATTGACTATGCGACATTCATGCCACCAGGCTTTTATTAAAACTGAAAACTGCTGCGATGATACACAAGAAATTCCTCCAGGATGGTGTTTTTGATGTATCGAATGAGGTAAAACTACGTATAGAAATATATTATCGGATATATAGCAGTTGGTTGTGCTGCTTGTTCCTATATAGCTGTTTCATTCCTCTCATTTCCAGTAGGTGAACCATCTTTAAAGTAGGGAGATTCCAGGCACACTGAGTAAAGCTAATTAATGGTCATCAACTGGATAATTAAGTGACAGGTGGATTTTGATAAATGGTAAAGAGTTATGTCGATCTCAAATGAATATGATAGATAAATGCCATTGACAATGTGAAATCATTTGATAACATCAATATGATATAACACTTGTGTTGTTTGTGTGCTCTAATTTTTCACTCAATGTTGTAACCATATAGAGCTATATTTTCTGCAACATTTGTTATCTTCTGTTGCTGTTGTAGTTGTTGGCTCATGACTCTTGTCATTAGAGAACTTATCTGCATTTTATCTTCTTCTGTTGCTGTTGTAGTTGTTGGCTCTATGACTCTCGTCAGTAGAGAACTTATCTGCTTAAAATGAACGGTGTTGATCTACCTTCATTATTCTGATGATTACGTTGCGGCCCTGATCTACTTTCCCTAATAAGACGATTTGTACCCAACTTATGCCCCTCGCGGTGCTACAACCCGACGGCCATGTTTTGCAGTGAAACGGTAGGCATTCGAGGGCGGATGTCGGCGAACATTCGTATCGCCGAGATCAACAACTCTCTCCGAGGGTTTCCACGGGATCCTCCTCTGCGTGAAGGCTGCATCGCCAGATTCGTATCCATCTACAGGATTCAAGACCACTGTCAAGGTTCGATCCGTCTTCCCCCGTTGTCTTCTTTCATTGCTCGAGTATTATTGATCGTAGCACGTGCTTTCCTTTGGTACTACTGATCCGACGACGATCATCTTGTAGTTGGTGAATCTTAGGGCTTTGCTTCGGGTCTCCTTGTAGGAAATTTGTATGTATGTGTGAAACTCTTTCGGCGCAGGAATTGTTGATCGTTCTGCGCTTTTCCTTTATGGGAATTTTTTGGGGTTTGTTTCAGGTATTTACTCGTGAAAAGAATAAGAGAGTTAGGGTTCATTTTCTAGGTTTAGGAAAGGTTGCAATCTCATTGATGGATGGATGGACGGATGAGATCGAGTTGTATAGCCGGCCAGACTTTGTGCTGAACCACGTACAGGATCTGATATATATATATATATATATATATATATATATATATATATATATATATATATATATATAAAGAAAACATTAAAAAAAAATCGTTTAAGGAGAGGAGGTATTGTTGGTTAACCCCACTCATATAACTACAATTGTGCTGCAGTGGGGTAGATTGGCGTTGCTTTCGGGACGTGGTTGACATGGCCTTCTTGCTCTTAGCTTCACCCCCTCAAAGTACATTCATACCCCTTGAGGAATCAAAGCCACCTGTCCCAAACATGCTACGTTGCGCGCGCCCTCGTCTCCTACGTGTCTTAAAACGCCTCCCTTCTCCTCCTCTTGTGCACACCCCACCCGGTTCTCCCTTCTTTCGTTCTGCTTGAGCGAGAAGAGGTGGACGACCAACCCAGGGCACCACAAGAGATGGCGGAGCTACAAGACGCAGAATCGAGTCCTTCCCGATACGATTACTTTCACCGCCACCAGAAACAAGGACAGCGACAAGAACAGCAACACCTCAGTGGCACCCAAATCCTCTTCGGTGCCGCTGCCAGCCTCGCCTTGGGAGGGCCACTTCTCGGGACCATGGGATGCGACCTCTTAGCCTCTACCATTCTCCTCCTCGTCGCCGCCCCTCTTCTGCTGCTCTTAAGCCCGGTCCTTCTGACGGCGGCCTTCGTCGTCGCCGCATCGGTGGTCGGCTTCGGCTTGTCGGCGGCGATGGCGTTGCTTGGGCTCTCTGCCTTCCGATGGGCTCTCCGTTGCGTTCGCCAAGGCGGGCCGTACGATGTCGGCAAGATCGTGGATATGCTGACACTGTCCGGGCATAGAGTGAAGGAGAAATCTCCCAACTTTGAAGAACACCACGGGCAGTATGTTAGCTATGTAATCCCAAGCGAGAAGGGAATAAATGGAGGAATGTGATGAGATATATATATATATATATATATATCCAAGGGGTACACAAAGGACAATAATGATGTGTATGGAAGAAAGGAGAGACGAGCTTGTTGAGGACTGCGTTTTAAAGATGTATTAGCGTGTGTTTAAGTTCCTTCCTCGTAATAAAGTTTGCAAGCTGAGATTTCCCATCCAATCTTATGTTTAAAGATGTATTACTTTCTACTTGGACATTTTTGTCATTGGATTCTTGAATAAATTGAAAAATAGAGAATAATAATAAAAAAATAAATAGTCGACACATCTTATTCAAATCTCAATCATTCTTGTATATGTTTCTAAATCAAATAGTTTATTACTGTTTCAATTGATTCTTTCTAAGAGGAACACAAAATCACTTCACATCTTAAGTAGAAAATATAACAAGTCGTATTTTTTTCCATATGGACATCACTTGTGTAATAACAACTTTCTCCAATAATAAAAAAATATCAAAATTTTAAATTTCGTTTAGATAATACAGGATTCTTTAGCAGCTTGAAAGTAAATTTTTGTTACATATTTTTGTATATCTACTAATCAAATTTATTCCATACATAATGTCCAAGTATATAAGATTGCTATCAACCTTCTTACTACTATCAATATTATCGAGTGCTAAACATGGTTTAATTAGAGTGTCGATAGGTTTATTTTTATCAATTTTAAACTTTTCATGACTCATTTTGGTGTAGTTCTTTTATGAAATAAAAATTTCTACTTCTTACTCAATTTTAATAACAAAATGATATCTCATAAGACTCATGTCAATCATATCAAATTCTTTCTTCATATAAGATTGAGACTCGTTAATACTATTGATAATCCAAATTTTAGTTGTTTGACACATCATAAAGTTGGGTAAGTTCGTCACAAGCCTAGTGGTAAGGAGTCAAGAGATTCAATAGATGATTATACAAAATTGCATTACAGGTGTGCGCAACAAAAGTATGTTTGATGCTTAAGTCAATGGAGTTTTGGAAATTTTAAAAATTATAAAGGAGTAAGTCAATGGAGTTTTGGAAATTTTAAAAATTATAAAGGAGTAATTCAATGGAGTTTTGGAAATTTTAAAAATTATAAAGGAGTGTACACATATGATATTAAGGATGCACCTAAAACATTTTTTATAATGAGTATAGGTAATTCTTGAATTGAACTTGTGTTGAAAAAATTCATATGTGTGAGATGAAAAGAGATATCCCGAGAAGATAGTCTCATGTTGTTAAGAATAGAAAGAGTCAAGTTATATATATTAGGTTAGAGTTTTCATTGAACTAAAAGTTTAAGCTTTCATTGAATTGATATTTGGCTTGATATATGTAAACTCTGATTAGTTTAACTCAAACTAATCATTGTAAAATTTCTAATATAGTATTAGATGGACAAAAAATTAATTTGAATGAATAAAAAAAATTAAAAAATAGAATTGAGCTAGTCAAGCGATGGTTTGAATGAATTAAAATGAGTTACACTACGACCAATATACACGATGGGTGTGAGATTAGAGAGATATCTTATAAGGATAGTTATCAAATTATCGACCATTCAAGTATGTCAAATCACTGAACATTACAATTATGATATAACAGTTTAAGTTACATGAAAATTTTCAATTGGCATGCAAGGTTAGTGAGCCTCTATGTAGGCATCGGGTCAAACGGTTATTGGACAACTATTTGGTTAATATGTTGCGGTGCAATTCAGATTGCATGTGTTAGAACTCACAAAACCATTATCAATATAAATTAAATTATTTATGCATAAAAAAATAATTAATATCCTATATGTATATGCATATTTTACAAATAAAGTATACTCGTAAAAATATTTTTCAAATTTATGCCTAAAAAATCATGTGGCTCAAAATATTCATCTATACAAGGTTCTAAGTGTTTGCTTAGATCATATAATTTTTTATTTCTAAATTTTATTTTTATATTCTTTTATCATAAATATAGGAGATTTTTCAACATAAACTTCTTAAAACTCTTCATGTAAAAACATTAATATAATATTTATCATTTATGATTTGCAAGAGAACACATTAACCTTTTGTTTAACAATTGGTGCAAACATCTCATGAAAATATCTTTTATAAATAACTATATTCTAAATTTTTTATATAATTTTATCTTGTTTTAATTTTGTTATATCGGTCCATTTTACACCAACTTATGCACTATGCGTAAATCAATCAATTCCAAGTCTGATTCTTTTTAATAAAATTGATCTCCTCTAGCATTGCTGACTAAATCGTCATTAGTAAATAGTGTAAATCATGAAAATTAGTAAAATAATCCTTTATCTATCTTATCTAACTTCTAGTTCTCTTATAAATTATAGAAGGTAATATCGATGGCAATGTTGAAAGTTCCTTCGAAATCGATGGATTTGAAGAAGCATTAGCTGGAAAGAAAATCATCATGCTGTTCATCTACTTGAATAAATTTTCTTGTGTCCATAATACATTTAAAGTTTTTTCTTTAGTAAAATTAATATCGCTATTGATTATAACTTTTTCATTATAGAGTTTGTAAGAATTTATATTTGAACTTTAGCCCATAATTATGTAGGCATCCCACCCCTTTATCATCTTTTGCATTCTTTTTCTCATTTGAACATGAGCATACATAATATATATAAAATATTAGCAATGATTAAGGGCAAACTGATAACCACTGCATGTTCTTCAGGTATCAAATTTATTCTTTTAGAATGATAAAAAAGTTTAGCATATGAACACTCAAAGATGCAACCTCACCCAAAATTTCATAAATAAAGATATTGTGTTGCTTATGATGATATTTATCATTATTATTATTATTATTATTATTATTATTATTATTATTATTATTATTATTATTATTTTCTTTTGGTAGCACCATTCTATTGTGGAGTATAGATCTTCACGGAATTTTTTAAATTCAATTAAAATAAATTCATCATCCATATTAGTTCTCAAAATTTTAGAATAGTAATCACTTTTCTTTAATTAGGGATTTACATTTTTTAAAATATAAAAAAATTTATATTTTTCTTAAGAAAATATTTTTTTGTTGCCAAATAAAGTCAGATCACTTGGGAGATAAATATATTTGAATGCACAATTTTATTTTATGACCTTTTAGCTCTTCTATATTTGTTTCTAGGAAAGAAGAAGTGATGATGTTGCTTTCATGTAATACATCTTTCACATGCTTTATTAGGATAATTAATCATAGGAATCATGATAATCCTTTTCTATAGTAAAAATATATCTTTCTCTCTCTCTCTCTCTCTCTCTCTCTCTCTCTCTCTCTAGTTTCTTCTTCCTCTCTTTGTTGGTGCCTTGTGGACAAGGCTTTAGGCTCGTATAAATAAATAAGCCTACCAATCCAACATGTATTGAGCAACAAGTTTATAAAACGAAGAGCTTCAGATAAAGTCCTAAATCAAATCAAATTACACTTGTGAATCAAAATTAAATTATATCTCTAAATGGACATATTCTCTTATCATCGTGGCCTAAAAGCTTGAGAGCCTTCCTACGCTCTTCAACTGTTTCCATGCAACTGATACAATAATGCAATAGGGTTGAAGGTTGTGCCTAACACGTAAACAAATGTCTCGTTAGCACAAAGGTCTCACGTTACAGTCTTTTGCAAAGTCATCGATAATTTCATAGCTACTGTATCTGTCTGTCATGCTTAGCATCCCATAAATTTCACCAAAATTAGTTTCTTAGCGTTGCATTCCCTATCCGTCATTGCTTCAAAAATATTAACCCACACTTTTTATATACAACTAATTATGATTCAAAACCTTATCCAATAAATTTTGACACATAATACATTGATACGATGATTTATGAGACCCACTTTTGAGAGTTTGAAATGTCACCCATCGATCAGTTTTATACTTTTATCATCTTAAATTTTTCCTAAATTAAAAAAAAATCATAAATGATATCTACTTCGCCATCATTATTTAGTTCCAAATTTTTCATGCCCTCGTAAGGAACACATCTCTAAATTCAATTTTTGTTTCCTACTTTTCAATACTTTAGTAAGAAATAACCTATTTTATTTTTTGTTTAATAATAAAAATTGATATGAAAATAAACCTCCAAGCAAAAGACCACAGGGAAGGATAAGCGGAGGTGGAAAATAGTATCATGTTATTCTTTTCACTTAGTTCGAGTCTTGAAATAGGTAGATAGTTGATACTTTAGTTATTTAAATATTTCACAAAATTATGATATTTATGATAAGAAAATTGATGCATGTTTTTGAATTTAAGTATTATTAATGTTAATTTAATTGTTTAGAAATCTTACGTCATGACATCGAAAATTAGTATCGTATCTAATGATGTTAGTGCCTTCATGTAATTGAAAAATATTTAATTTTTATTTTGAACAAATATTATGATCAAATTATTATGTTAAAAAAGAAACTTTTTTTTTTTTTACTATTATGAGAGATAATTGTTGGGTTTGATCTATATACACTCTCGCTCGATTTTGACTTGATCTAACCAATTGGACCCAAGGTGGGCATGGGTCTAGATTGGACCTAATCCAACTTAGATCAATCTTTTGACTCGATATTAAGTTGATCACCTACTAGTCCAATGGCCAGGTGTCATGCCAGCACAGTAGCACCCTCAGCTAGAGCCCATGGTCTAGTGTGACTCGGCTAGCTATTATAAAGCAATGCAGTTAATCGTTTTTTCGATGCTTGTATGTGATCCTTTGCCAATCTTTTTTTCATAATATTTTGATGTTTGTAGGCATTTTATCATAGCCAGTTTGTAATATCAGCCCCATTTTATTGTTAGTATTGTTTTTGTTTTATGTTTTTCTGTTTTGAAAATATGCAAGCATTTTAGGTAGAGTGTCATCGTTCATAGGGAAAAATTGATCGAAAATTTGATTTGATTTAGGACAAATGACTTTACGATGTAAAGCTTTAGTACCTTAAAACCCTCTTGGTGGCACTAGGTTGAATGAGACTTCAATTATATCGTTAAGAATATGTCATCACTCAAATCTCACTGTTGGTGTCGCTAAGGATATGTCATAATTTGATTTTGGACAAATGACATTACGGTGTAAAACTTCAATACCTTGAAACTCCCTTAGTGGCACTAGGTTGGATAAGACTTCAATTATGTCGCTAAGGATATGTCATCACTCGATCCCACCGTTGGTATTGCTTGGGCACTTGTGCACAATAACTTTGTATGTGACATATTGCTCTGTACTCTTTGTTGTTATTAGTGTTGATTATACTAAAGGTAGCTTGTCTACTTCATCTTTTAGTAAAGTAACATCGAAAAGTGAAAGTGATGCAAATATACTTAAAGCTGATGATCGAACAAAAATAAAATTATTTGATAAATTTTATAAAAAAGAAGACCTCAAAATTTTAAATTCTATGAGATGATACTCATTAAAATTCTAACAAACATCTATTTAATTTAATTGATGTAATACAATTCAGAGACTAGTCTGAAAAAATGAAAATCCTTTGCATCCCTAGGTACCATCAAATATTAACACAATACATACTAGCCTGAAAAAGTGAAAGTCCTTTGCATCCTTAGGTACCATCAAATTTCAGCACAACACAATCAACCCAATGTTAGAGGCATTAGCATGTTGAGGCAACATTAGTATATCAAAATTTTACTACTCAACAATAGCACCAATAAACTAATTGGGAGCTAGAAGGCATGTTTTATCCTAAGAAGGAACAAAAATATAATAGTGTATTTGTAAAAGCTTCAATGAAGATATTGAAGGAATAAGTGAGACAGAATGATATAGAGCAAAAGAATCAATGTATTCGATGCATATCGATGACCCTTTGTTGGTCATATTTTTTATATTTTTTCTAATTTTTCTTCAGTTAGACAACTTACAAGGGTCATCGAGTAGTACTAATAGTTCCTTTTTTTGTTGATAGTATTTTTTTTATATTTTTTATTTTATAAAGCACACAAGCGTTGCATGTATACTAATAGATTGTGTGTAGGGAAAATGGTCAAAACAAAATCCTGTTATAGGTTAATTTGGGTTGATGACTTTATAATACAAAACCTTAGTTGTTTCTAAGAACCCCTTAGGTGACATTGGACCTAATAGGGCTTCAGTTATATATCTATTAATGTGTCATCACTTGGTATTACTTTTGATGTTATATTGGCACTTGTACACGATAACTTTATATATGACATATTATCTTAAACCCTTTATTACATAATTGTTTGGAGCTTGTGAAACTCATTTATGTATTTTATAATACCTATAAAATATTTGCTTAAATATCTACTTATGTAATCTCGAGTTTTCTTTTCATTAATCCATCTTTTACTTGCAGATCCATATGAGACTGCATGGGGTTACTAGTAGACTAATGATCATTTACAAATGGATATCGTAAGGGTGTCACATTACTTGAACAAAATCAGATAAGTTTGTGACATCGCTTTGCCCAAGCAACTTGGCATTAGCCTATTGGATGGCCCTGCATACCTATACCTACACTTAAATAAAATCAGTTAAGGCTTGTCCATATCTATTTAAGCCAATTTAAGATAATTTTAAATCCATTTATATTGATTCAAACTGATTTAAGATGATTCTAGAGTGACTAATGTCAATTCTTTTAGATGATTTTAGATTAGTTCAAGTTATTCGAGCTTCTTTAACTTGAACCAAAGTTGGTTTAACTAGAAATTAGATCGATTGAGCTTGAGCTTAAATCAATATTGGGATCGAAACCCCTTTATCTCCTGATCATGTAAACTTGAAAAATTTTATTTGATTTTATATGATTTTGCTATTATCATGTAAATGTTTAATATATATTCTGTCATATACCTAAAATAGTGGTGTTTTGGACTTTGGCGGGTAGATGGTGTCATATTTTGGCTAGTGAAAATAGTGTATTGGGAGTGTAATATGAATTCTTAATCCACCGTTGCAAAAGTGTAGGATGATATATTTGACCCAAATCGATAACGGAGCTATTATGAATATTTTTATATCATCTTGGTGGCTTTATGATTATTTTTATATTATCTCGAGATTACTCATTTATTTTAAATAACAATTGATTATGAAATTTATATTTTTTGAAATTTAATTTTATATTATTATTGAAATAGATATTTTATATTTATTTTTAGAGCAACTATCAAATACTCAGGTGGAAAATACCTTTTGTACCTCTAGTTATTAGTATTTAGTTAGTGACATTGGGAAGTTCCATGCTATTAGAGCTGTTTAATTGTTTTTCAAATAATTTTATTTTATTCAATAACATATGTAAATTTTTTGACTTTTGAATATATTAAATTAGTCAATAGTTAATCTTAATAAATGTTTGAGGATGAATTTCCAAAAAAGAGCCTCACTTTTTTTTTTTTTCTTCTGAAAAGTGTCCTTCATTACAACAAAATCTCTAACAGCGTTTTGTTTTTGCCCAATACCTATAATAATGCTTTCAGCAATCAATCCTTTTTTTTTTTTTTTCTCCCTCTTCCTAGGTATAATATTTTTATATTATATTATAATATAGCTTTAGTAATACAAAAAAGTACTATAACATAGTGTTTTTATAAAATTTGTATAAAAATCCTATTTTATGATTTTTTTTATTATGTTATAATATTTTTGTGGTGTTGCTGAAAAGGTTCATCATATGAAAAGGTCCATAGGAAAAAAAAAAAAAAGACACTGTTAAAAAATAATAGAATTATGAGGTACGTTCCGGAAAAAGAAACCCAAAAACTAGAGCTTTTTCAGGAATTCATCATCACCTTCGGAATTATAGTGTGAAGAAAACAGAATGGGGATGTGAAAGTTAGTCCTATATAAAGCACAAAACCGAGTTGCTTTCTTCTGTAGAGAGACAAGGAAAGATCAAAATCATCGAGATAAGGACAGGAACACAGGCTGTATTAACTGCTCAATCTTAGTGGCGTTTCCCAAGTTGATTCAATCCACGCAACCTAACCATCTTAAATTCTGAATTCCCCGTGTTCTTCTTATTATTACTATTGTATGCATTGGTTGCTGTGGTGAATTATAATTCTAGTGGTGGGAAGAATAGCCACACTAATCCGTGGCATGTCGGGAGTCACTTATCCGCAGGCTTAATCGCCTGTTGACGCGTGTTTGACGCCTTCTTCCATCCTTTTTACCACACAATACACCGATGATTTAGAACAGGGAACCCAAATCAATGGACTAAATAAATGCTCCTTGCATTTATGTCATCGGTCTTTGTTGTGTTGCACTACGATTACGGGAATGGAGAGCGTGCGTCGTCGTAAAGGCCGTTTCCGTGCTTCGCGTGGCATGCGAGGCTTTGCTCTCTCTTATACATCACGGTGTTAACATAAGACACCACCACGCCCACGCCCTCGGCGACCCACCACTGGTAGAACACCACCACGGCTCCTCCCAAGCAATTCCTACCTCCATTGCATTCGTTAATTACTTTGCATGTCGTTGTGCAGACGCGATCCAAGGCAATGGACCGAGACGACCTGAAGAGAGGTAGAGAAGAGCAGGAAGAGAGAGGAGGAGCCGGCGTCACACCAGCGGTTGTGTCGAAGAAGAAAAAGAAGAAGAAGAAGAAGAAGAAGAAGGGGAAGAGGAACGAGACGGCGGAGGGCGTCTCCGAGAGCTGCCGGGTAGGCACCGTCGACGTGTTCCGCCCGCCGGGGCTCTTCGAGTTCCCGTGGCAAAAGGGCGAGCGCCTGCTGGTGCCGGAGCCCGACGGCTGGGACCTCCGCGACGTCTTCTTCTCGTCCCTCGTCGATGGTTGCTCCGCCGCCATCGGGGTTCCCGGCGACCGGCTTTCTCCCGCCGCCCGACACCCGTTCGTCCTTCTCGAGGAGCCGTCCGACGGGGAGGTGGACAGCGGCGTGGATTGCATCTGGAGCTCCGTCCTCCGCCAGCCACTGTCCATGTACAGGAAAAGCTACACCGCGTGAAGAAATAATAATAAAAATAATAATAATAATAATAATAATAATAATAATAATAATAATAATTTTTTGGTTTCTTTTACAATCTTTTATCTTTTTGAATTTACAAGTTGACTGTAGAAATAGTATAGTCATAATGACTTCGATGAAGAAAAATATTTTGTGTTTTTGGGAATGGCTGAAACATTTCTTTGAACCTTCAATGCATCGCATGTTTTCATTTGATTCTGTCATTTTAGGTGGGAGAGGAACTAAATACTTCACACGCACATATTATATACGTATAATAATAATAATAATAATAATAATAATAATAAAAAACACGGGGTGGAGACATAATTATCATCCCACTTGTTGGTGTCTTAGACAGGAGGATCACAGCATCTAAAGTACCTACAGATATAAAAATTAGTTAAGAGGCATGCATGCGCTTCATCATACCTCCTCATCACTATAATTGTACGGAAAGAAGTGAGAATAGAGTCCACAACTATGGAGAAAGTGCTCTGCATGCGGTAAGAATCATTACCGGCATTGTTTTTCTTTTAGTAATAATTGTTGTAATTAGTTTACCTCCCTTCACGTGTCTTGGGTCGCCATTTCCAGTCCGACCCGTTAACAACCCCGGCCAACAACGAATCCCTAGACGAACCCGCTTCTCTCCCCTGCGTTCGCCTCTCATTTTCTCCTTCTTCTTGTTAGGTTGCTTCCCACCATTCGCATCCCAACGGCCACCATTCGCGACGAGGGATACCCACCCGCCGGTCGTCATCAAGCAATCGCCGATCGACGGACGCCTTCGAGGACGGGAAGTCCAGCAACCAAAGGCCGTCGGCCGGCTGCAAAGGGAACTTCGCCTATCGCCCTCCTCCTCCTCCTCCTCCTCTTTGGTGTTTCCATGTAATAGGTCAAGGTTTGGGTCATTAGTCGGCGATTGCTTTCGGGTTCAAGCATAATACACATGATACGATTGGAATTGAGTGATCGGATCGAGCCCTATGGCTCCGTTGTCGTTGTTGTAGATGGTGCTGGCTCGATCAGGACCAGCAGCTCATGGCGGAAAGTTAATGGTGATGCATTCACGGTCAGCATTGGATTTGTCACCTGTGGAGATTGAGAAGAGCGTTCGCTTCTGTATATAGCAATCGGGGCAGGGTAGAGACCCATCGAAAATGACTGCAGGCACCTTGTTGTGAACCTGCTTCTACATCATGATATTTAAAGATCATGTCTAAACTGAAATATATTGTCGAACAAGATCGCACTACCTGAGTCTTTCTTCTTAAAGGTATAGCAATCTTTAGTTTGAAAACTCATCCCTCATAGTTAGAAACTAAGATTTTTGTGCTATGTGCTTTGACTTGCATCGAAGATGATTCCAATTCAACGATGAGTGCTGCAACTCTCGACACATTCTTTGCTTTATAGTTAAAACCATTACACACGAACCACAACATTGAGAGAAAGGACTGCATGTGTTGATCTGAAAATCTGACCCTTGCACTTTCATTTGCTTGAGGATGTTCCAACCCTTAGCAGAACAACCTCGTAGGGAAGAGAGAGATAATAGGTTTCTAGAGGAGGCAAGAAAGGTTTATTTGCTTGTGGAAACCGATCATAATACCCATGGGTATCAAAAATCAGGATGTATGTGGATCAGAGAGGATTGTGCTTTCCCTAATAGGGCACATTGATGGAGAAAGTTAACACCAGCATCACATGGTAATGCAAGTAAGACATCATCACTTTTATTTAGTCAAGGAAGATCTGTTAAACCTAATATTATTAGGTTGATCTCTTAAGTTCACTGAAGACATGCTTAAAAGCTTCTTTGTTAGTAATATGAGGTTTGCAGGGCTTAAGTTGCTTTGTTTCTACCATGACCTGATTCCTTCTTCAAGTTTACTTGTCTATATACTATGTCAACTTCATCTCAATTAGTAATGTAAGTTAGTGCAAGAGAAGTGAAACTTTCTGCTGCTATTGAATTATGATATTGCAAATTACTTCTTTTTTCTATTATGTTTTGAAAGGAAAACCCTTCTCATCGATAATATATCCAACTGGATGTCTTGGCTTATGCACTAAATAATTCTGAGAGATTTCATATCATTTTAGAAGAAAAGATATATTACTGAAATCCTTCAGAGAGAAATTTTTACCCTTTGGTATATTGTATTCATCTAAACATGATCCATATAAACATGCATGAAGTAGCTTAGAGTAACAATGATTGACTGAATTAATTGAGTTGCCTTCACCCACTAAACTTTTGCTATCAAATACAATTTAATTGCTAATTTCTATATTCTAGTTTGGTTTTCTTGGCACGTCATAAGTATTAATCTGATAGAATTTGAGATGGATACTCATTTATATATCAAATCCAATAAGTCAGAGCTACGGTGAAATATTAAAAATTGAATAGCATATGCCAAGTTATTATCTGGGTTTCTTTCTTCATGAATGTTTGAACTTTTTGGTGCTTTGACCCAGTATCAGAAACTTTGAAGCTAGTTGTGTTTTCTACCAGATCTCTGTGAGTGATGATGCTTCATTTGATATGATCACCAGTAATAATCATGGATGCTATCTACATGATGCTGTGAGCGATGATGCTGGTGTGCATCTACATGCTTCTAAACTCCAAATTTGACTTCATTGGGGCCATAATATCATATTATGGCATATCAATACCCAACCTCTTCCCTTTAGTTCCTTTGTTATTTTAAGCGAATGGACAATCATTATTTTTGCAACCAGGTGCATGCTCATGTTCCTGATTGAAAGTTAGATTGCACACTTAAGGTTGGGGCCTTTGTACTAAAGTTTATGAGATGATTCATTACCCACAGTTCTTCTGGTGAGACATTCCGAAAAATGTATCCTATTTTTCCTGGTTATTCTTTTACTTCCTGTATTAGTAGTTAACTCTATGTATCCTCTTGATCTCTTCTGGAACCACTTTGCCCATTATAAAATTAAGAGGAAAAAAAAGAAAATAGGAGAAAGTAGAAGGTAAAAAGTTTATTGTTCAGAATAAATGTACCTAAATCTTCTTGATCAGGTATATTAGCAACAAGGGAAGAAATATACCTACACTAATGCAAGAGAAACCACTGGAAAACATTGGGAGATTTTATAAGTTGACATGTGGAACTTCCTGAAAACTACGAGTCTATTGTTTTGGCCACTGCCATTTCATTATTGCTTTACTACAATGTTTGATTTTCTCTTCAAAGCCATCTTACTTATTTTGTACAATATTTTGCTATATTTTCCAGATTGATGATGACATGGTCCATACCAATGATTAAACATGGTGGTAGAATCTTGTTGTGAAACGTAGCATTCTTAAAATACATTTGCAGCATCATGGGGATTATATGGAATTACGTGGACATGTATAGATGTTTGTCGATAATATCGCCAGTGCATGTTAGATATGTCTGATAAACCCAGAATGTGTAGCTGTCGAACATTCACGATTCTTACCTATTTTTCTCATCCTGACACTTCTGTATCTTCTCCAGTTATTGTTTCAGTTACATTCTTCTGACCACAGAGAACTTCAGAAGAAATCCTGCTGGACTTCCCAAAGTTCATTGGAGGAAGTATACGTCACAATCATGTCTGGATAAAGAAACAAAGCAGTCTAGTTCTTCAAAATGTAAAACGAAGGAAGTTAATAAAGCTACAAGCAAAGGATGCAAAAAATTGGACTTGAAGAAACTTTCTTTGGATCATTCAGCTCTCTCCAACAATCAGGCCTTTAAGACGCAACCAAGGAAAGGGGAACATCCTGTTCATGTTCCTTCCGCTGAAAACTCCCAAAATTTCAGGTCTGCTAACACATGGATTTGTAAGAACTCAGCTTGTAAGGCTGTTCTTACCTCAGATGACACATTCTGTAAAAGGTGCTCATGTTGTATATGTCATCTCTTTGATGACAACAAGGATCCTAGTCTTTGGTTAGTCTGCACGTCTGAATCTGGTGACAAGGACTACTGTGGGTTGTCTTGCCATGTTGAATGTGCACTCCAGTGCCAAAAGGCAGGAGTTTTCAGTCTTGGACAGTCTATGCTACTTGATGGGAGCTACTGCTGTGCTTCATGCGGAAAGGTTTCTGGAATTATAGGGTGAATTTACCCTTTCTTTGCTGTTTGTCAATTTGTGTCACGTGTTTACACCATGCTATTTGAGTCAGTTCCAATTGTTTTTAACTGAATGGCATTCTTTCAGAATCCTTTGCTTTGCATTCCAAGTTCTGTTCCAGCTAATTAGGATTTCCCTCCTCTCCCAACATGCACTGAAGTTCATGACCAATTTATTGCTCTTGATGTCTTCTATGGTTTTTAAATTATTCTTTGTTTCTTTTGTTTTCTTTTTGTTGACATAGTGACACGGACTTAGCTGGTTTTGCCTAAGTCGTGTGGCACCCTTGCGTGTCCGTCCGCAAAGGTCAGCCTCCCCGAAGACTTCCATTGTCCCTTAGGACCAACAAAAGAGAGAACGGGCAAGAGAGAACGCCTCAATTGGGATCTACAAGCAAACATCTCCGAAAAATACTTCATAGACAATGCAAATTACAAACAGACCTTACAAGCTCTGAACAGTGGCACAACAAAGGGTAAAATGGTCCATTACAGACCGAAAAGCTCTCGCACGTGTCCACATGACACAACCTTTATTTACAAGCCTAAAGAGGCCACCAACCTAACTTAAATGAGACTTTGAAGCCTTCGGCCGCCCCTCTCTATGCTGTACAAGGCATGAACATGCCCAAAAGACACGGACACACATAAGCATTACATCCAACATCTTGTTCAGAAGTTTGTCCGTGACATTCTCCCCCACTTATCCTTCGACGTCCTCGTCGAAGCCTTTGTGAACACTGCAACTCTTCGCCTTTGCTGAGTCTTCAATCTTCCGCTCCAGCTGCAATGCGCCTCCTGGCTCCCAGCTGCTCTCCGCTGCTGTTTTTGAGTAGTCGAACCTTTGATCCGCCATGCTGCTTCAACTCGCCAATGACTCTGACTCTGGTGTGGGGTTGGCTGAGTTGTGTTGATCCTTGTTGATTCCTGCGGATCTCCCAGATGAAGGAAAAGACCATCCTTACTGCGCTAGTCTCTCAGAAATTCCACATGCTGCTCGAACTGGGTGGATGCTTGTTGGAGCTTTAACGAGCATCGTCTCGCAAACTTCTGAAGTTTTGGGTCCTTCCTCCATAAAATCTGCTCATTGACTCTTCTTTCAGTTAGTTGTCACATCCAAGTAGGTTCGCATCACTTCCGCTTTCGATTGACATTTCGTTGGGAAATGAAGCGGACAATCTACTCTCAGTAGCACTGATCACCGTTGGTGAGGATTTGACAACTATTGTCTTCCATTATCTTTGAAGGGTCTTTGAACTTGTGCAGAGCTCCTCTGCTGGATAGATAAGAGAACTAGGGTACTCGGTTTCGCCCATTCTCTTGAGAGTTGAGAAGGCAAAGGTTACTTGACTTCGCCCGCCTCCTCGAGGTTGTACTTCATGCATCGAGCTGGTTACTGGCCTTTGCCTGCTCTTTGCTCACACTTCAGAAGCACTTGAAGTGTTTGCACTCCTTGCGTTGAGTTAGCTACTGTGATTCACCTTCTCAATGTCATTGAACTTCTGGAATGCAGGAAGTTTTCACCCCAACTTGGAGTAATTCTCTGATAGATGAGGTCGCCTCTGGGATTGTACCGTCTTCTCCATCAACCCTGCCGCCTACTCCACTGAGTAGCGAAGGTACAGCACCGCGTACTACCTGCTTCGTTCCTTGGTCGTGCACTCTTGCATGACCCGAAGTCCTTCACTTACGACTATCTTGATGAGAAACTTGTTGACACCGGTCTTACGAAGTTTCTTGGCCTCTGCCCTTCAGCTTTGTCTCGGTACTTGGAGATTGTCTCTGCATGCTCCACCTTCTCGGCCCCTTTCACGACCAAGCGCTCTCCCTCCATGAGAGCAAGGGATCAATGACTTTCACGGAAGTCCCGCCTCTGCGGTACCATGGCGCTGCCATGCCCATGGCCCTACTATCCGTCGCCTTGCATCTGCATCCCTTTTCTTCATGATCAGTAGATATGTCTTCG